CGAGCCAGGGCATGTGGAGGCCGGTCTCGGGAAGGACCAGTGAGCAGGAGGGGTGTCTCTTATACAAAATAACTCTTTATATATACATATGAACAGGTTACATCAACTCAAGAACACTTGAGAACACCAGAGAACACACAGTAGCAGCCGCCTGCTGCTCATTTTATAAGGTCCCCTTTCCCTGCATCTCTAGTAGGGAATCTCCAGGGTTCATTGTTCGAAACGTCCAGGCGCGCCATCTCCCTCTCTCTCGCACTGCAATATACGACGCGCACACTGAAGGGCAGACGACCTTGGTCACGGTGTCGCCTGTCAATCTCGTTGGTCACCGGCGCCATCGCGGTCCGGACGGGCAAAGATTCCTAATTGCAGGCGTCTTGATCTCCGTGTGCAAAGGAGATAATTTCATCGAAGCTCGAAGCTGGGGGAGGACGCAAAGCTCTCTCCTTTGTCGAGGGCGTTCCACGGCTGCCGAGGTGCCGCGCGTCGAGGCCAGATCGAAGCAGGAAGGAGAGGGCCCGGAAAGTAAAGCCCGATGACACTGGCGTGGGTCAGCCCGATGATCCCTCGGAGAAGGTCACGTCGTCCCCGCAAACCAAGGTGCGTTGGCGACTCCAGGGCGCCTCTCGCTCTGTCTCCGGGCGCAGCTGACCGTAGCCACCTGGCGATGATGCTCTAGGGCGTTCACCCGTGCCGGTCGGTATGAAACGGCAAGGTCGCCTCCTGGGCCCTTTCGCAACAGTGGTCGGTTGCTCCAATTTTTTAGTGTCTAAAAAAAATTTCGATTTTTTTTTTTTTGTGTGTGTGAAAGTATAGCTATTTTTGTGTTTTGTCTGGCCTTCACGCGTTGGTATTGCAGTGCTACTTCGAAAAGCGGAGGGAGTTGTGTATTGTGAGGAAGTTTTTAAAGGGACACTGACAGGGTATTTATGCTCGCCGAGGTTTTTAGTTGTACGTGACATATGAGAGCTCAACTACCCATAACAAAATTTGCGGCTCGATATTCGGTTTCTTTCCGCCCGAAAACCGCCGATCAAGAAGTGGCCGGTTCTAGTCTCGCTCACTCTCTTTTCCGCGGTCACGGGCCGTTTTCTAAGGTATCGATGCGACCACCAAATTTAATCAAAGTCGTGGGTCACTGAAAGCACACACTGAATATTAAAGATAGAAAAAAATATGAAACCAATTTTTTGTAACTTCTAAAAAGCTGCAAATACGTTGATTAAAAAAAAGTTCCACAGACAACCGGAAGCATTCTGTGCGTGCGTCGTTTCGCGTATCGTGGGACTCGCAGGGACGGCGATGGCAGCGGACGACGGGCGTCAGAACTCTATTTCAGAACTGTCGTTCGCGGTACCGGCGAATTTTGTCTGCCTTTAAAAGAGAAATTTTGGACTGGTCAAAAGAATTGGTATTCATCCCGTACGACACGTCCGACCACCAAGCCGATTTGCACGAAGACCTGTACCAACAATTTGCCGTTGAACCCCTCCCGAAATAAAATCCTGGCTACGCCACTGCCTTATTGTTGTGACGACCCTGTTGACCTCGTCATGAACTTAGTGCGTGTGAAAGTGTGCGCGACGCAAATGTCGTGGCTGGCCGTGAGCTGGTGGGGGAGGAGAACCGGGCGACCTTCGAAGCGCCGACAAAAAGGGACGTTCGAGGGGAAGAAGACCAGTCGCTGGAGAGGAGACGTGGGGAGCGGCCGCGTGAGCAAGGAGAGACGTTCAGAAAGGAGACGGGGAAGGAGGGTCCTGTCGGGGTGCGGCGACAAGAAACCGAACTGCAAGAAAAGAAGCGGCCGGGTTCTCGGGAGGGAGCGGACACAGCACAAGCCTCAGCGAAACAATCGGCCGAGCAAAAGTCCGTGAGTTCGTCTGCAGCCACTTGGAACTTTTCAGCGTTATATTGAACCGACCTCGCAGTAGGAAGGTCACTGCTTATTGGCCTCGAGATCGACCTAGAGGTGGCGCTACCGTCGCGCTATCATCATCATCAAAGCGGGGATACGAGAACGGCCGCCCCATAGGCTCTCCACGTTCGCGCGCGAGACGGCGTAGATTCTTGCGCTTATTTTGTCGCATACTATCGGAGAGAAAACAATTCTTGTGGAAAAGGATGCAGTACTGTTCGGTGCTTCAGTAAAAATCGAATCGCGTTGCCAGCGTGCGGCCTAAATTTATATAATCGCTTCTGTGGGTGCGTCGTCTGCTCTACGCAGACGTTGGAAAGCATGGATCACCGCGACTGATGCCTGTCTCCAGCTGAACTGGAATATTTATGTTAAATATTCGTTTCTTTTAAAATGGATGTATCGGTTCATCAACGTTTGAATTAAAAACAATAATAAATTCCAACCCAGATAAAATAATCATAGAAGCTGTGAAATCGCAGCTTCTATGATGTTTTAACTTCTATAGCTTTTGCAGCAATATACATATTTAGAATAAAGATAAGTTAGCGCTGTATTGGAAATTACCATGCTGTTTAGTTCCTCTGCCCTTTTACTGTGCGATAGTGTGTGTAAGTTTTTTTGGAGTCTGAACAAATCTACTGCGTTGCGATGAGGAGAGAGAGTCTCTTCCAGTTAAATTCTGCAAACTGCACGGTTGACAGGACAACTGAAACAAGTGAAACAAACTTTTCTGATATATCTGCCGTGACTGTAATAAACAAGTGTAACCGAGCAACGCAGCAATGTTCCTGCTATTAAATGCTTTTCTCGGTAGTGTGGGTTCACCCGCTTCAATTTTCTTGGTGAGGGCCGCGGATGTCAAGAGGCTAATACTATAAATTTCTGGCTATATAATTGTAGCGGCAGCTCTCGGCAGCGATCTAGCGCTTGAACGGCGAAGGGCCCCTCGATGAGGTAGTCAAAAGTGTGATTTACCGAGCCTCTGCTCCTACATAATCTTGTATTCAAACACAGTAGACTTTGCAACCCAAACAAACGACGCGCACCACGACAGAGACAGCATCGGCCGCAGCGATACTCTTTTACTGATGATGGCTAGCGACCTTCACGAGACTTTCCGATCACCCTCCGCCCTCACCTAACGTATATCGGGACTGGGCAGTTCATCGATTAACTTTCAGATTATTCAAGTAATGCTTTAATTGCAATTTTTTTTTTTTCCGGATAATTGGAATCTTGTGCTGGAGAAAGTCAACAAGGAGTGAAAAATGCCTGCTTCAATATTTTTTACGTCTTTATTTCTTTTGTGGCACAGGCTTGCACGGTGAACCACTTCAGCGTGCTTGTCATTTCGCCGAGGGTGATTACACTGTTCAAATATAGATAATAACTAAAACAATACTTCATTTTAAAAGGCTTAATTCCCGCGTTCATATTTATGTAGGACTCACAATGTAAAGTTTAGAATGGGAATGCAATATGCCATTTATGGCATAGTAAAACCAGTAAAAAAATGTGTAGTTTTAACCTCTTTCACGCATTATGACCGGCGAAAAATCAACATACGGATTCATTGATTGATTAGTCTATTAAAGGATAGCGATCAGCCTGGTTAATTTTCTACTCAAACCACAGACCCACTCAAGATTCAGTGCTTTATGAAAGCCACGGTTTGTGCGAGATAACAAAAATATGTGGGACCAGCGATTGTATACAAACACACACACTAAGATTATGGAAGCTTCCGACTTAATAATAATCGCTTTGCTGAATTTTTATTCATGGGAAACGATACAACACAACCTTTAGTAAGAAGAAACGGCAACAAAAACATAAAACATTTAATAAGGAATGTCAAGCTCAGCCTGAAACTGGCTTGCGTCGTCGAGATCCATGCTTCTGAGCGTGCCCGTAGCAGACGACGCACGGCGGTATCCCCGCTTTCGCGCGTTTCCGATTTCGGCCGCACGGTGGCGACACGGTTCGATCTCGAGGCGAATAGTTGGTTCCCTGGCAGCGCGTATGAACTTTGTCAGTGCTGTGTTCTGCCGTTATGGAAACTCTGGACCTGCTGTGCATGTAGGCTTGGTTGCTGTATTATTCTTGCGGGTGTCCGTGTGTCAGCCCTTTTGTTGGGCGCGAAGATGTGGTTCTGCCTTGGGCCACTGCCTTTGGGAGTACCACGTTCGCGGCGAGACGCTCTACCGCGAAGCGGGTTTGTACTCGCGTGGCATGTTGTTCGTTGAGCGCAAACCAGTCTTGGGCAGTAACTAGTTACTAGTAACGCGTTACCGGTAACTAGTTACTTTTTTCGGTAACTTTTAACTGTAACGCGTTACTCTTTAATACTGGTAACTTGTAACTGTAACACTGTTACTTTTTATTGGGTAACTGTAACTGTTTAGGCCGTTACAGTTACTTTTTACTATAAAATTAAAATTCCTGGCTGACAAAAAAAAAAGAAATTGAACAAACAAAAAAAATTGCCTCGTTTTGCCCACGACGGACCATAGACGAGACGGACGAGCGAGCACGAAACCGGGAGATTAAGGAAGCGGCGCCTGCGGTGGTAGGGGAGGCAAACAATGTGTGTTTCACCGACTTTGGCTCAATCTTCTTCTGTGGGGACCGTCTGCGGGTGTCGGTGGTCATGCGACATGTCTCCGAGTATTCCGTCTGGGCTGTGTCTGCCCTTCCCCCTCTCCCTTCCTCTTTGTCAGATATGTCCGCGCTGTACGTCGCTTTTACACCCAGCCGGTCGCCGCTCCCTCTTCGCTATGAGTTTCCAAGGAAGCCGTCCCCATATTAGGCGGAAAGTCGGCGCTTGTTTAACTTATTCTTTCTCTTCGGAACCGCTCGAGTAAATTGCCTTTCCCGCTGACAGCCCCAAGAAATACTCCAATAGACGTTTTGTTGTGGATTCTCTGCAGTGCTCCAGCTGAAGCGATTACCCGGAAAACACGTGTTTTTAAGAGAGAGAAATTGCTGTTTTGAGGCGCGTGTGCGGACTGATCTTCCACAGTTGGCGTTTGAGACAGAGGCGCCGCGGTGGTCGTCGTACACACGTAGAGCACCAGAAGGCCTCACTTTGTCTCCTTTCCCCCTATATTCTTCCAAAGCTGTTTGACCTGCTATATTTAAGCCTGCTTTCGAGTATATCCCATAAGGTAATTATGTGACCATCTGTGTCCTCTTTGGTTTCGGAGTGAAAAATAAACGAAAATGTTCACTGACGCGGGAGGTCCATCTAACGCAACGTATGTCCGAAAGCTTGTACCCTGTCGCCTATTGGTGAAAACTTTTGGGGGCTGAGCCACGTGCGGGAATGCGATTGGTTTGCGCAGAGGCCAGTTTAACCAGACGGTTCAAAAATGGCCACTATTCTTCAGCTATCACTTGTCAGTTTATTGGGAAATCTCAAGCAGAGGTTACTGTGCGCGTTCAGCCTGTTTATTCTTGATAGCGCTCAAGCCATCCTGACAGGCAGTCATGTCTTCCGACACGGAGCAGCCGTTACCTTGGCCCTCGTATCGCGAATATTTTTCTGTTCTGACAACGACTGCGACAAACATCACAGTGCTGTGCAACATTTGCAGTAAACAGTACTCAGCAAGCAGGACGTCTTCGTCCAACCTGCGCAAGCATCTAGAGGTATGTTTAAGCTTTCTATTCTTGGGAACTCCGGTTTCTTATGGCTCATTTGGCGTTATGAATTGTGCTGACGATGGGGAAATATATCCATATCATTAAATTGTGCTCTTTTCTTTCTTTTTTTTTTTTTTGCGCAGAAGAAACATCCTGTCGCTCTGAAGGAATTCGACTCTAAGAAAAGGAAAGCCGAACCTGGTCAGCCCTCGAATGAGAAAAGACATGCGGGTGGCGGCTCGACACAGACACTGGAGTTCTATCTTGCAGGAACGAGTCGACACAAAGCTGTGCCGCAAAGTCAGATAGACAGGCTAATTGTAAACTTTGTGGTAGGCGACATGCAGTGCTTTTCAGTCGTTGAAAATGAACACTTCCGGCGCTTGATCATCGGAATGCAGCCATCGGCAACAGTGATGAACCGAAAGTCTTTTGTGAATCATCTGGACATCCTCTACCGAGAACAAAAAGCGTCCCTCATCGCTACCCTTGAGAAGGCGACGAGGGTCTGCTGCACAGCAGACTGCTGGACAGCCTCAAACAGGTAAGTTCTTGATGCACTGCACCCTATCTATACGATACTCTCAGTGAGACGCAGGTCGGTTTGTTTTAGAACCCGGCCCATCTAAGCCTGTAATTTGTGAATAGCTGAAATAATTAATATACAGATATTGTAGTACATTGTCAACAGAAACCTAGCCTTAAGATCAAAGATCTCGTAGTCCATTTTCTAGTCTTTTTGTAAAAAGTGTCTCCTGTTGCATCAGCACTTGAGCAGTAAGTGCATGGAGCTAATATGTTTGTGACCAGTCAAGCCACAAGCCACTACTGTGTTACTGATCCAGCCGTTTATTTATGGCAGCGTTAGAGTCATATAACGTTATCTTCCCTTTGCGTTATACGTTTACACCGTAGAAAACACCCGCGCGCAAGTAAACCCGAAGTTGAACGTAATCACCATTCGAGCGCAGCGATACCTTGTTTATTTATTTATTTATCAATACTGCCAGCCCAATATAGGGCAAAGGCAGGAGTGGGGTAATACAGTGTCACACATGCTTATTATAAACACAACAATTGTTTAATCTAAGCGGCTGCTCAGCCATTCAAGACCGTTACGAAAGGGCACCGTTCTGGCGTTTGTCCTTTTTTTTTTTCATTCAATGAAAGCAGAGAGGACGCTGTTTCCTTGGGTTTTTAGATTTTGTTTTGTACTGTTCGACGCGCATTTAACTTTTGGCGGCGCTCAGATGTATGTTGGAACGAAATATAACATTTTCGCACCAAATAATTTGTAACCCCTGCCATTGATCGATGTGTTTGGCGCATCACTTGTGGGCAAGTAGACCTGTGCGTCTTTTTTTTTTTTTTATATAGTGAATAGTAAATTTGACAGGTTCAGTATTCAAGGCCTCTCTGGAATCGAGATTTTGCTGTTCGGCTGAACAGCGACCTCTTGATTTTCACTTATTAGATTTCCAACATATTGCCATTTTCGTAATTTCGTCGTCAAATGGTAAGACATAATAAAAATAGTCCGCATTAATCAGCTATATTATGAGTGTCACGGTTATAACCGGAGCTTTGTTGTTCCTAAACTAATTAGTATGACTGGCGAGAAAATTGCAGAAATTTAAGATTCCAATTAGAATATTTTGCGGTGACCATAGGAGCTTCAAGCATGTATACAAGAGCATCGTGCTCGGTCGTGATTGCATTGTCACTACATTGAAGGGCGCAGCAACAACAATAGTCATTCCTTTTTTTTTCCAATCTTTTTAGGAGCTTTCTCGGAGTGACAGTTCACTTTCTGGATGAGGAATCCCTGGAAAGGAAATCCGCAGCGCTGACCTGCCATCGGCTTTCAGGCCGTCATACATATGATGTGATCGCTTCTGCGCTCCATGCAGTGTTTGTGGACTACAAAATATTACACAAGATATGTGTCGTGATCACGGACAATGGTTCGAACTTTGTGAAGGCTTTTAGGTAAGTTTATGGTCTTGTTTGTTCCTGTTTTTTTTTTTTTTTTTTTTACCCTTTGAGCTCCGGCTGGACACCTTCATATCACCCCAAACGTATACCAGAATTACATATTAAATGCGGTACATTGTGTTTCACTCACAATTTTTATTATGCTGTTGGGGCGATCAGCAGTGTAGGGGCACATATTAAAATAGGGGGACATTTACTGCTTTTATACGATTAATGAAGCTCCACATGTGAAATTTGGCCGAGTTTAGGCAGTTTTATTGAAAATATCCGGACGTACACTCGTTGCGTAGCTTCATTTCGTAATCCTATTTTTATGACACTTCCCCATCGGAGTCATTAAACACTACTAGACGATTGTTTAAATTTGTAGCTAACCTATCATCTCATATCTTTTGCGACGTTCAAGCTCAGCTGGGTAAAGGTTCTGACGGGTGTGACTTATTTTGTGGCGCAGGGTATTTGGAGAAGCTACCGAACCTGAGGAAGATGTCATCCAAAATTGCATCACAGAGGTTCTTGACACAGCTCCAGGCGCTTGCACATCAGAGATCCACTTGCCTCGGCACCAGAGGTGCGCTGCACACACTCTTAATCTAGTTGCCTCCGCGGATGCTGAAAACGCGTGCAACCAGTTACCTTACGGTGCAATGGCGAAGAATGTGTTTGCGAAACTGAAATGTCTCTGGAGGAAGCAAGCCCAGTCAGTTCAAGCCGCTGAAGCCATAAAACTCACCCTAGGAAGACAACTTCCTGTCCCAAACGCGACGCGATGGAACTCTTTGTATAACGCTGTAAAGTTCCTGAATGAGGTCTCGAAAGGCAAACTGGACGCCACATTCGAGAGACTTTCGCTGCCAAAGCTACAGAACGAGGAGCTTGCCTTCATCGACGAATACTGCAAGGTATTGTAATAGCGTATTTGTTTCACTTTATGCAGTGCGCTAACCTTTCGTACTCTTTCAGACGATGTATGGCGTGGCGAAGGCACTGGACATCCTGCAAGGCGAGCAGTACATGTATATGGGTGTGCTGCAGCCCACTCTCCACTCGCTCTTGCGATACCAAGGGTCCCTGTCACAAATGCAGTACTGCACCCCACTTTCCAACGCCCTTGAGGCGGGAGTCAAGAAGAGGTGAGCGATATATTTGTTGTTCACTATATTGCTACCCCTCTCTGCACATGCGTTTGCATGGTAGCATATCCGTGCGAGCTATCTACACTTAACATTGTAGGTTTCAATCATCCATATTTCGATTTATAGGTTCAAGCAGTGCAAAAATCTCCTTTTTGTTTCTTGTCTCGTCACAGGTTTTCAGAAGTTCTTGAAGACAAGGACTTGGCCCTTGCAGCGGCGGTACACCCCAAGTTCAAGCTATCCTGGATCATGGAAAACGAGCGGAAAGCTGCAACTGTACGGCTGCTCGAGGAAGAATGTCGTGCGCTGGAGGAGCACTGCAGTGAGGACGCAACAGGCAAAGAGGATGGCGACGAAGACGATTTTTTTTTCCACTTGCCTCAAGCATTACCATCATCAACGGAGGTGCAACAGTGGGTGAGCGACCCCGCGACCGATCTGACCGGGCTCTCAAGGTTCCCCATGATAAAGAGGATCTTCATCAGGCTCAACACGGGGATTCCGTCAAGCGCGCCGGCTGAACGCCTGTTCAGCAAAGGACGCGATGTGTTCGCCATCAAGAGAGGGAAGCTCTCCGATGACAATTTTGAAAAACAGTTGATATTAAGTTATAACAAATATTGCAAATAAGTTATAATCGTTAAAATTCTGAAACGACGAATGACACAAAAAAGAAGCACCCTTCGGTTTTAATGTTTTCTAATTTCTCAGCAGTTCATCTTTCTTCTCACTACAGTGTAACAAATAAAATATTTTTTTTGGTTTATGGTTTCTTGTGTCCAATTTTGGTACTGTAACGAGAAAGTAACGGCGTTACTCTTTCTGCGGTAACTGTAACTGTAACACGTTACTTTTTTAATCCGATAACTGTAACTGTAACAGAGTTACTTTTTCCCCCTAGGTAACTGTAACTGTAACACTGTTACTTTTTACTGGTAACGTGCCCATGACTGGCGCAAACAGACACCAGTCACGTTGGTAACGGTGATAAACTGTTTATTTCCAATGAAACAAAAAGAAGAAAACGGCGGCTATAAGCTGGTGAACGCCGTCGGTGTGGAGATCGCCCACGGCGGAACGGTCGTGCACAAAGGTACAAAAGACGGGGTAAACGCTCACCGGTGCGCCGGTCGGTTCCCCGTTGTCGCCGCCGCCGAATCCCAGGAAGAAAAGAGAGGGCGAGATACTGCTGTTCGGTGGTTTTAAGATAACGGCGGGCGCGAACTGGCCAATCAAGGAGCGACACGTCGCTCTCCTCTCTGCGGGGGTTCGTAACGAAAATCACCCCAAAGGGGGAGAGGAGGAAGCCAATCACAGTGGTAAGCAGCGCCACCTCTCGCTACGTCAGCGCGGCCGTCACGGCGTGCCAAAACGCTGACGCGACAGAATGTTGAGGGATCACAATCCCCACACTCCCCCCTCCTTAGCCAATAGTCACCCGCAAACAGGTCGACCGACAAAAATACACAACATCTAGACTAAAATAGCAAAAAAAAAAAAAAAAAAAGAAAGGCCGCCTGCGGTTGCAGTTACACGGGACAGAACAGCCCGGCTCATACGTCCAGGGTCCGGAAAGTCGTTCAGCGGGCCCTCAGCGGGCCCTCACCCGGTGGTACAGCTCCGAGCAGCAGTCGGTCGGCTGCGTCATCCCGTGACCGTCGCGCACGCGGCGGGTCACCTCCTAAGGGCCCGGCCGGGGTAGGGCTTCGAGCCCAAAGTGATGATGTCCCACAGCAGTATTCCGCCGAACGCTCAGACGTCAGACTTGAAGGGCGCCCTCGGACTTTTGGTAGTAGACGTCCGTCTCGGATTCCCAGTGCTCCTGGAGGGTCCGAAGTCGGCGACCCAGCAGCCGTGTTCGTCGATGAGCACGTTCCGAGCGGCCAGGTCCCGGTGGATTATCCCTCGGCTGCCGATGTAGTGCATTGCCTGCGAGATCTGCTGGGCGAACTGCGCCAGGTCCCTGGGGCCCTTGGACTTGTCACGAAACTAACGGGAACAGCTGGTCCCTGGTCGGCGAGCTTTCCAACTGCGGCGCGTGTCCCGAAGATGATGAGCGGCAGTCCCTGGCCGGATGTCGATCCCGACGGCCCACGAAAACGACAGGTTGCTGGTTTGGCCCGCGGCCGGCTGGGGTAGCGGGGCCGCCTGACGAGTCACGCGCAGCTGTGGACCCTGGACGCCACTGAACTGCTGTAGCCAGGAGACAGCAGCTCCCGAACGACGTGAAGCAAAGGCTGGATATCCTCTTTGTAGGTGCGGAACGTATTGCGCTAGAATGACCACTTGGTCTCCGACCGCTTGTGACGACGCTCGCACCGCGCTTTTGTGTTGACGTATGGCACACGTGAACGTAAGTGGCAATAATTGACCAATGGCTTTTACGCCTACCTAAGCTTTCCCTCGGAAGCCGTGGTTTGGGGGATTCCCCTACGGGTTGGTCCGGGAGCGAACGCTGCGGTGACATATCTA